AGCCCAGGTTCCGCGAAATGGCTTGAGGCCATGAAATCTGAGATGGGATCCATGTATGAGAACAAAGTGTGGACTTTGGTGGACTTGCCCGATGATCGGCAAGCCATAGAAAATAAATGGATCTTCAATAAGAAGATTGACGCTAACGATAATGTTACTGTCTACAAAGCTCGACTTGTTGTGAAAGGTTTTTGACAAGTTCAAGAAGTTGACTATGATGAGACCTTCTCACCCGTAGCGATGCTTAAGTCTGTCCAAATCATGTTAGCAATTGCCGCATTTTATGATTATGAAATTTGGCAAATGGATGTCAAAACTGCATTCCTTAATGGATTTCTTAAATAAGAGTTGTATATGATGCAACCAGAAGGTTTTGTCGATCCAAAAGGTGCTAACAAAGTGTGGAAGCTCTAGCGATCCATTTATGGACTGGTGCGAGCCTCTCGGAGTTGGAATATACGCTTTGATAATGTGATCAAAGCATATGGTTTTATACAGACTTCTGGAGAAGCCCGTATTTACAAGAAAGTGAGTGGGAGCTCTGTAGCCTTTCTAATATTATATGTGGATTACATATTCTTGATTGGAAATAATACAGAATTTCTAGATAGCATAAAAGGATACTTGAATAAGAATTTTTTCAATGAAAGACCTCGGTGAAGTTGCTTACATATTGGGCATCAAAATCTATAGAGATAGATCAAGACGCTTAATTGGACTTTCACAAAGCACATACCTTGATAAAGTTTTGAAGAAGTTCAAAATGGATCAGTCAAAGAAAGGGTTCTTGCCTGTGTTACAAGGTGTGAAGTTGAGTCAGACTCAATGACCGACCACTGCAGAAGATAGAGAGAAAATGAAATTCGTTCCCTATGCTTCATCCATAGGTTCTATCATGTATACAATGTTGTGTACCAGACCTGATGTGTGCCTTGCTATAAGCATAGCAGGGAGGTACCGAAGTAATCCAGGAGTGGATCACTGGACAGCGGTCAAGAACATCCTGAAATACCTGAAAAGGACTAAGGATATGTTTCTCGTTTATGGAGGTGACAAAGGACTTGTTGTAAATGGTTACATCGATGCAAGCTTTGACACTGATACGAATGAGTCTAAGTCGCAAACCGGATACGTATTTATATTGAATGGTGGAGCTATCAGTTGGTGCAGTTCTAAGTAGAGCGTCATGGCGGGATCTACGTGTGAAGCGGAGTACATAGCTGCTTCGGAAGCAGCAAATGAAGGAGTCTGGAGGAAGGAGTTCATATCTGATCTAGTTGTAATACCTAGTGCATCGGGTCCAATGAAAATCTTTTGTGACAATACTGGAGCAATTGCCTTGGCAAAGGAATCCAGATTTCACAAGAGAACCAAACACATCAAGAAACAGTTCAATTCCATCCGCCATCAAGTCAAGGAGGGAGACACAGAGATTTGCAAGATACATACGGATCTGAATGTTCCAGACCCGTTGACTAAGCCTCTTCCACTAGCAAAACATGATCAACACCAAGACTCAATGGGTGTTAGAATCATTACTTTGTAATCTAGATTATTGACTCTAGTGCAAGTGGGAGACTGAAGGAAATATGACCTAGAGGCAATAATAAAGTTGTTATTTATATTTCCTTATTCTTGATAAAGGTTTATTAATCATGCTAGAATTGTATTGACCGGAAGCTTAGATACATGTGTAGATACATAAACAAATACTGTGTCCCTAGTGAGCCTCTGCTAGACTAGGTTGTTGATCAAAAGATGGTTAAGGTTTCCTACCAAAGACATGTGTTTTCACTTGAAAACAGGATCACATCATTAGGAGAATGATTTGATGGACAAGACCCATATGTTAGCTTAGCATATGACCGTTCAGTTTATTGATGCTGCTTTCTTAATGTCAAATACATATTCCTTCGACCATAAGATCATGCAACTCCCGGATACCGGAGGAATACCTTGTGTGCTATCAAACGTCACAACGTAACTGGGTGATTATAAAGATGCTCTACAGGTATCGCCGAAGGTGTCTGTTTAGTTGGCATAGATCAAGATTGGGATTTGTCACTCCGTGTATCGGAGAGGTATCTCTGGGCCCTCTCGGTAATGCAGCATCACAAGAAGCTTGCAAGCAAAGTGGCTAAGGAGTTAGTTACGAGATGATGTATTATAGAACGAGTAAAGAGACTTGCCGGTAAAGAGATTGAACTAGGTATGGAGATACCGACGATCGAATCTCGGGCAAGTAACATACCGACAGACAAAGGGAATTACGTATGTTGTCATAAAGGTTCGACCGATAAAGATCTTCGTAGAATATGTAGGAACCAATATGGGCATCCAGGTCCCGCTATTAGTTATTGACCAGAGAGGCGTCTCGGTGATGTCTACATCATTCTCGAACCCGTAGGGTCTGCACGCTTAACGTTCGTCAATGATATAGTACTATATGAGTTATGTGAGTTGGTGACCAAATGTTGTTTGGTGTCCTGGATGAGATAACGAACATGATGAGGAGCTCTGCAATGGTCCGGAGGTAAAGATTAATATATTGGACGATACTATTTGGTCCCCGGAAAGGTTTCGAAATGCACCGGAGTTTTATCGGAGTACCGGAAGGGGTTCCGGGAGGCCATGGGGGGCTATTGGGCTTATTGGGCCAACGAGGGAGAGCACACCAGCCCACATAGGGCTAGCGCGCCCCTCCTCATGGCAGGCAGCCCTAGGGAAGGAAAGGGAGGAGGCTAGCCCCTCCTGCCTTCCCCTCCACATGAGAGAAAGGAAGGGGGGTGCCTCCCCTCTTGCCTTCTCCCCGAGCGCCAAGAAAGAAAGGGGGGCGCACCTAGGACAGGCCACTAGGGCTGGCCACCGGCCCCTTTGGGGGCGCCCTAGGGCTGCCTCCCCTCCCCCTCCACCTATATATATGTGAGGAGGGAGAGGGGCAAGACACACCATGATCCCCAAGCCGTGTGCGGCACCCCATCTCCCTCTAGTTCTAGTTCCTCCATCATCCACGTCCGTTGTGCTTGGCGAAGCCCAGCGGATAGTTTCACCACCTCCATCACCACGTCGTCGTGCTGCCGGAGCTCATCTACTACTTCACCTTTCTTGCTGGATCGAGAAGGCGAGGACGTCATCGAGCTGGACGTGTGCTGAACGCGAAGGTGCCGTGCGTTCGGTACTTGATCAGGACGGATCGTGAAGGTGTACGACTACATCAACCGCGTTGATAAATACTTCTGCTTAGCGAACTACAAGGATATGTAGATGCTCTGCCCCTCTCGTAGCTATGCATCTCGATGGATAGATCTGACGTGTGTGTAGAATTTTTTGTTTTCCATTCAACGTTCCCCAATAGAGACAATTTTATGTAATTTGACATAACTTCACAACATATTTAGGAACTTGATATGTTTTGATACACCCTAATTGTAGCATTCGGCTTGTTTGCCCAGTCAGCTGACACGTCATCCTTTGTCACTCTAGAAAATAATAAGGACTAAAAACATGGCAAGATCAAGACCAAGAAACAAAATCAGGGAAATACATAAATAAGTTAGAAAGTATCACTAGATCATATCACGAGAATAATAAGAGAAATATACCCGTTTCTTTTCCTTTTTTGGCGAAAAGAAGCCCACTCAACTCAAATGTCACATTAAGATGGATAAATAAATGTGACCATCATAAAGGTCCATTAACATGTTTTTCTTTTGCGATCTAAGGGTAGCTTAGATGGTTAATTTAGTTTACACGTGTATCTTACCGGCCACTTGTAGATTTCAGCCGGAATTAAAACGATGGACGGAGGTCTGTATCTTTTCTACAGGGGTATTTGAGACGAAACGACATTCCAAACAAGGCCTTACGAGTGTCAATTTTCCATGTCCACATCGTGATTTAAGCCAAGGTCGTTAATGCAAACAGGGAAAAAGGTCGACCTGTCCGTATCTTCCTAGTTCCTATTCCTAGTAGGGTGTTAGTAGGGTGGGGTTAGGTCCCCGATCGATTAAGATTTAGAAAGAAAATTTTGCACGGATCTCTATGTAATATCAAATAAATATAACATCAACTGAGACGTAATCAAGTCTCAGCCTACTGAGACTTAGCAAAACTATTCCTGATACTACTATAGTAGACACGTCGACCAATTCCTTCTTCTTTTGCACTGTATCTATATGGCCGGCTTAGTTTGGAGGAATTTCGATGGAATTCGGTGGGATAAGATTTATGTAGGACAAATTCCTTTGGAGTCATTTGGTTGTAAGGAATAGAATCCTATTCATATGAAGAAATATGCTTCACATTTCATAATAAAATAGACATTAACCTAAACTCAATAAAAAATAAAAAATATATGATGTGAATCAAAGGACATCTCTCTTAAGTTTTTTATTTTTATGATATTATGAACTAAAGAAGGCCTATACTTATGCGCATGCACGCTCTAATGTTGTTGTGTGGTGTTGCGTTACGGTTTTGGAGTCATGGCTAAACTCTCTGTCTCGTACGCCGCCCCCAAGAGACGAGTCTGCGTTTGGAGGGAGCAACTGTGTATGGATCTGTATCTGTTATTTGAGCGTTTTGACGGGACACGACTATTCTTAGCTCAAGCTTAAATAAGCTCTAATGAACAGTATCTTTATCTTTATCTTTATCTTTATCTTTACCTAATAATAAAGCACGTAAGGTTTTTGTGGTACGTCGTCGCTAATTTTGCAGAAAAGTCCCTATGGTTTTCGATATTCAACCCGCGATCCTTTTTAAAGTGAGAAAAAAACGTTTCTAGCCCAGATCTGGCCCGCCCAGGCCCGAGTGCCGCCGTCACCACCAGCGCCCGACCCCGAGCTCCTCCTCCCGTGCGCCTCCTCCCTGGCCTCCCTCGCGCGTCGTCCGGCGACCGGCGCCGCCGCCGCCGACCACCCAGGTCACGCCGCCGCTTCCATGCCTTTTCTCTCTCTAATCTTCTTGTATCTCCTATCCAGGAGCTCAGCGCCAGCGCCATGGATGTCCAGTCCTCGAGCTCTCCTCGGAGGTTCGAACGCCGCCATGGGACCTCCACCAGCCAGATCCGGCGCCTACCTCCCGGATCCGCGCTCCCTCCACCTCCTCTACCCGATTCGGCGCCGCCAAACCCGCCAAGACCTCCACCATGGAGTTCCTATAGCTCGTCCCCTGCCTCCTCGTCCTGTGCTCGAGGGAGACGCCCCTCCAGCGCATCCAGGACAAGGCCCACCGCCAGCCGGTCGTTGTTGCACTCACCGGCGACCTCACCCTCCCCTCTGCACTGCCCTCCACCTCAACTAATGCTTCTCATCAACAGGGATAGATTTAGCTGGTCATAGCTTGTGGATGTTCTCTGTTAATTTTTGCACACAAGGTGTTTGTGTGTTTGTCCAAGCCAATGTTCATGAGCTTTATCTTTGCTGTGAGTACTGCATCTTTCTGTCCATCTGATTGTTCCATGTGAAGAAAATAAATCTGTATTATTTACCTTGATTTTTCTGATTGTAGATAAATGACATGGCTGAGAAAGTCCCTTCAATGAAAGGAGGGGGAGTATAGTCTTGGCCATGGCTGGGAAGGAAGGAGAACATGTAAATTGAGGATTTTTCAGAGAGATTAGGACTGCTTGATTTATCAGAGAGAAAACCTTGATCAGGAGCTTCGTTGATGCAGGCCTTCATGCTGGACCGAGGAGGAGAAGAAGGGGGGCACATCGAAGGTGCCGGTGGAGCGTGCCGTCGAGATTGTTGATGACAGCGACACGGGCGAGGCCGGGGAGGAGGTCATGGTTGATGCTTTACTGCCTGAATATGTTGACCGGGAACAAGAGGGTAAGGTGGATGTGAGGGCGGAGGCGCATGCCATGGTGCAGGATGTTGTGGAAGCCTGATTATTTGAGGAAGTGACAGCCACTGGGAGCATGGATCGACAGACTAGACAGCAGACCAAGTCCATTGATCGATTGATTCAACAACGAAGGAAGAGGCAGAAGGTTATAAAAACGAGCTTGGGGATTTACTGACCTGAATCTTAAACAGGGCCGCCCTGCTGATGGACTCAAGCTCCAGATTTGCTCCTAGCACGTCTTAATTAATTACATTGGCTCTTGATAAAATGTCTAGCATGATGGATAATGAATTCATTCTGTGATGCCAGATAGATATGCAAAGTCATAGTCCTGCATGTATGGACATCTACTGATACATACAAGCCGATCGACGGGCACACACATTAGTAAGTTCTGCTACTAGCCTAATCAAGAGCCTTTTATACAACCCCGCAAAAAAAAGCCTTTTATACAGCCTTGCAGATTAAAAATGAATTGAATTATGAGCATCTGACAACTACGATCAATTTCCTGGTTATACTTCCTGAAATAAAGGTGGCCGACCAAATGAAAGGATGGATGCTTTCCTTTATGTGAGATAATGTACATTATCTTACTTGATCTGCAATGTTTCTTTGGTAATTTTTTATGAAAGACACATGACACATAGTTTGCTGGATAGGTCTAAGATAAATATTTCAGTTATAGGAGGATATTTTTAAATGGGTAATACTATTACCGCCATCTGCTTGGCCTGTTGTGCTTTCGGTAGAGCTTTCATATTTCAACAAAAAAAAACAATGCAAGTTGGGACCAGAATAGCACACACATCCTCAAAGGAAACATCAGTTGGGAGTGCTCAAGTATTCAGTTTCTTGGATGATGTATTATGTTCTCGCTTATCATGTACTCCCTCTGTAAACAAATATAAGACCTTTTATATAGATAACTAAAGTAGTGATCTAACATGTCCTATATTTGTTAGAGGGAGTATGTTTCTAGATATCCGTCAACTCCAATGTTTCATTTATCTGCTCTCTGAATATGAAGAAGATAGGCTTGCAAAGTAGCTTTTTATGTGAATAATGTGACAAACATTTATGTCTTATAACTGCAAACATTTTTTTGTTTAGTCCGTCACCGAGCAAATGTTTGGGAGTTGGAAATTATTTGGATACACATGATCTCAGCAAAGAAAGATTCACACATACTACAACCAAAGGACCTCCTTCACTCTCTGTGCAACTACAGAAATTATCCTTATGAGCAGCACCCTAGATTTAGTTGTGGGTTCTAACATATTAGAGATGTGGTTAGAATACCTACTGCTCTGAACAATTAAGTGGTTTGTATAAACCACCGATTCCCTCGTGCAGTGTACAATGTGATATGGATCATCATAGGATCAAACTTAATACAGGATGTACACACTTAATTGTTTCTGAACTATACTACTTTTTATGTTCATTCTCCTGTCCTTTTAAATCTCTAATTTAGTTGCAAGTATTTTATTTGTTATCGTTTGGCTTCTTAAGAACAAATCTAGCAAGTTTGGCTTCTTCAGAACAAATCTAGCAAGCAATGACTTGACTGATGAAAGAGATGTTGACCATCTTTGCTGCAGTGAGGTACCTTCTTGATCATGTTACTAATCTGTATCTACATTATTCAGATGTGAAACTCATGCTTCTTAAAACATCTGCAACACATATGTGCACTCTGAAATGGTAAAATATTTGCATTCTATAGTACTTCAAGTTTGTGTAGCATCCCCATATTTCCCGTGACCCAGTTCCTTGAACTGGCTAACCCTTATTGATGTCATATGTCCTGAACTGACTCTCATGACCAAGTTCCTCAACACGTCCGCCCCTCACAGGCATGTTGTGCAGTGGCTCAATTCATCGCATTGTGATTGAACACATTTGGACACATTAGGATTAGGTGAACACTGAACACTGCCAACATCGGTGAGGGTGGTCAGGAAAAAAGCCAAAACCACTAGACGAAGGGGCGCTGGTCTCTGGTTCTTGGCGAAGGCCACCGCAGCTCATCTCCAAGACCTCTGCTGTCGTGTGTCCCCCAAGTTCTTCACCGAATCTCCTCGCCCACTGGCTGCTGCTCTTCTTCTCCCTCGAACACATCTCTGCTTCTGATCCTTTGCTGCCGCCCCTAACCTGCTGCTTTTGGTTTCTGATGTTGCCCTCGACTGCTGTACCTCTCCTTCTCCAACGAACTGTTGTTCCTAATCTTCTCTGAACCCAAACTGTTGCTGCTCCGCTTCCTCTCTGAACCTCAGTCTGCTGCTGCTTCTCTGATTCAGAGTAAACCAATAAGCAGGAATTTTATGGACTTCTAGGTCGTTTTTCCTTTGGTAACAGTTATTGTTAGTTCTAAACAATTTTTCAGTGCCACGATTAGGCTTCCAAGGGTACAGACAATGATGAAGAAGCCTTTTATATCACACACTATATAACATCATGGAATCACAACCTTATCACAACTAATTTAAGAGGCTATGTTCTGGTTTGCTGTATCTCCACCAGTTTGGGTTGGTCTGATGGCTAACCTAAACTGAATAGGGTATCAGGAGTACTTTAGTTGGTATTGAAAGTGGTATGTTTACTTTCAAGCTGAAAATCTTGCAAGTTTGCTCCTGGGATATTTAATGCTCCCTTTTCTTATTATCTTCCAATCATACTATACATATTTAGTTTTTTTACTTTCTCTTGACAAGTGAACTGAATTATTCATGGAGAATTTGGTTATGGTAAATTTTATTATGGAGATTCATCCGATGTAATAGAATAGCTTTATTTGCTAAAATCAATACATAACTATAGTGTTGTATGGTTACAACATGTAGAGTTTTGCAAGTGAGAGTTACTGGAAGTCACTATTGCAAGATGGCATTCAGTTAACACACGTACAATCGACTGATCACTGTATCTTTTTTTGCTAATTTAATTTGAAAAAGCTATTGCAAACAATTTTTTCTTCTGAAATCATATACTCTGTTTATTTCTAATGTGATTTTGTTACTGTTTGTATGGCATTTCTCTGTCTAAATTTTTTGTTACATAAATCAATCTGCATATATGTGTGCAGGCTGTGAATCGACAAACAGCCCAGAAAATATGGCATGCTACATACCCTGTGACAGTACATTATCAGAAATACTTATATTTTTGATAAACGCATCTCTCATCCATCATGACATAGATGTGATGCGTTGCAAGTGTTCTTTTTCGTTCTCTCGCGATGCGTCGAGTACATGATGGATGGTCTAATCGTTCAGTGTGTCATGTGTACTCAGTCACTTGTGTCATCTTCAGATTTTAGAAGTCAAAATTCTAGCTTTAGCTCTATATTTAAGAATTTTTCTACGGAAAATGCAAGAAAAATAAAGCGTCCTTCTGCTCTCATTCTGAGGAAGTTCTGAAAAATTGAGGCATTTGTATGAATTTCTATTCTTCATTATAAATTATCCTTTCAAGTTTAGAAAATAAAACATGATATACTCTGTATGTCTCTGTTCTACACTACCACTACCATTTTATTGCTGCAAAACGCCAATGAAAAAGTCATTACTATTTTCCACATTTTTATACAATCAAGCTGAAAGAGCAATAAAATGATTTGTTTTTGACATCGCCTCAGATCTTACCGAAAGGCAATGTGCTTATAATGTACATCTAGATAACAATAATGTGTTTGGGAATGATTCATTTGTCGACGGCCAGCATGTGGGGTGTGAGGGACGATACTTATATCACTTAGTGGCCAAGGGAATGACATCACAAAAGTTTATCTAAAATCCTAGGAGAAGATGGACACATGTTCCTATATTGCTTCTCTACAATTGCTTTCACCATTTGACCATCCATGTAATTTATAGCATCCATGCATAGCTTATCCTTATGCTGTTTGTATTCACTTATTCCTTTTGTTGACATGGCTAGGAGGCTACTATGAATGTCACATAGATTGTAATTTAACCTCCTTACAAATAATTAACGTTCAAACATTCCAGTGGAGGAATCTCAAGACTTAGGAATGGTGCCCCGACAATTGTGAGCGGCACAAAGGAAGGGCCGCCATCACCAAGGAAGTACGTTCACAATTGTGGACTCCAAAGAGGAACAAGCTCTATATTTAGTGCATTGAGTTGCTATTTTAAATTCTGAGAGGTGTTCAATTTTGTCGATTTCTAAGACATTGACTCGGAAGAATTATTATTTTGCTTGATGTAAACTCGGATTAATTTGTCATGTCATTTGAACTGAACAACCTTTTTGTGACATCACTTCATGATTTTTTGTGGGATATTTTTTTTTACAGGTAGATTTTTGTGTGATATTCTGTCTCTTCCATGTACTAAGTGGACATATGTTGCCTGCTTATTTTTTTTATCTATCAATTCGTTATATGTTGTCAAATTCCACCGAAGTGCATATGCCAGGATACACAACATATATTTAGATCCTCCACCATATGACTTAGAGGAGATCC